AGGAGAAGCAGGAATCCTCCTTATTCCTGATAGGAGCGATCAAGGAAGGTATAGGTGGGGATCTTCCAGGCTTCCAGTGGTTATAGGACTCCAAATCCCATCATCTATGACTCATTGGCCATGCTGGCTGGGCATGAGGCGCTGGGAAGCCAAACATCTCTGGAGGACCACTTGTTATGAGGCAAGACCCCTCACTCTTTCCAAGGCCTCCCTCATGATACTCCCTAGACAGAGCAAACCTTCTGCCTTGCAGGGAAGGCTTCCTTGGGTTGTCCCTCCCAGCAAGGTTTCAACTCCTCCATACCTTCGCCACCCCAGACATTCAAGGGGACAGACACTGAAGTGGCCACCCAACTTAAGGGTGCGATCTTCTGCATGTTTAGGCAGAAAAGGAGAACTACAACACCCATGTTCACTGGAGCATGCTGGGAGCTGTAGGTCTTTTTCCTGCCTAAAGATGCAGAGCATTGTTGACTAGGGAGGACTGGAAGCTCTCTCGCTTGCCAGTGCCAGCTGCAGGATACGTGGAGGCCGATAGCAATGGGCCTGCTCCCTCAAGTAGCCTCCCTTCTCATGACCCTTGTCCCCAGCTGCTGCGGCCCCTCATTGGCTTTCTCATCACTGGCACCACAGAGGTTGGGTGACAGAGAGCCAGGGGCATCTCCCATGCCTCCACCTCACCGCCACTTTTGCCTGGGTCACAGCAAGAGGCAGGTGAACAAGTAGGTTGCAACGGTGAAGAGGAGGAGCGACTCCGCTCCAGAGGCAGCTGGTTCTGCAGTGGACATAATTCCTTTCTCCATCCAGGATGCTAAAAGCTCAGTTACTCTTCCCTCCTAGGGAACTGCACATGATTCTTCTAAAAGCCCGTGGCAAAGCAGTCATACAGTCCAATTCTATACTTGTTACTCACAAGTATCCTCTATAGAGTTCAAGGAGGCTTACACCCAAGAAGGCTTGCAGCTTTACAATAAATATTACATAGCAAGACTCTATAATGATAGTAATAGTACTACCACCAGTTTCAAATACTAAAAGCACATTCATGAAAAACAACTGTGAAATCAAGACACATGATAGCTCCTCCTTTGGTCTTTGCCTGAAGACACAGAAATAGCTTGATGAAGTACAAGGCCTGACAACTTGCAAACCTAGTGTCCTATTCATTTGTCCTCTCTCCACCCACATCCCATGATTTTTTAACTCTCCTTCATATAAAATGTTGCTATTGGACACAATTCTGCAAACATTACATTTAATCCTCCTGAAGCGGGAACATTTTGTCCTAAATACATTTGCAAATAAATCTCACCCCTGTAAAGAAAATTCTTAAGTATACTCACACATGTGGCTGGAGAGAAGGCAGGCCAAAGTTACTTTGGAAAAAGAAAATTAAACAGACCACACCCATCCGTTTCAGCCAAACTGAAGGCTCAAGAAAAGTTTTGCTACATCCCAGGGTAGCCAAGAGGACTGCAATCTCCACACTACAGATTGGAGAGGAGACCCATTAACTCAAGCAGTATGGCCACAGAGTAAGTTATAACCAGATTTTAATCCAGTTGTTTCTTCCAGGTAAATAAATATATAATTAGTTCCACTTTAAAGCCCTCACAAAATTATGGGTCTCCCTACCACCCCACACACACACGTACACGTCCGCCCTCTGGCAAATGTTGTGTGCTTCCCCAAGGTGACCCAGGTCCAAATCTCCACTCACCTATAAAGCTTTCACTGGCTCACTTCGGACCAGTCAATTTCTCTCACCCTTAATCGACCTCACAGGGTTGTCGTGAGGAGAAAAGCAGAATTTTACGTGCCACGCTAAGCTACCTGGAATTTTAAAAAGCAAGACACACGGGCTGGTTTGTAGTTATTGAAAGCACAGCCTCATCTTTTGCACGAGACGGCTGGCTCGAAGGTAAGCCCTGCTGAATTCAAGAGGACGAGCTCGCCCGCTGGACGCAGGCGCTCCACCGATTTCATTTAAGACGTCTGCCTCTATGCGCTCACGGTCAGGCTTCGAACCCTAGGCACGCATTTTGGGCTGTAAATCTCTGACATCCGTGGACTTCCGAGTAATAAATGCACATTCCCTAGATAGGGCTGCAGACGTGCTAGCCCCGGAGCGCCTATTTCTCCGAAAAGACGGAGCAACAGCGGGTCCCGCCCCCGAGAGCTTCGGAGAGCAGCGACGCTGTCTATAAAGATCTATATTGGGCAAATTTTCGCGTGACACCAGCAGCCACCGGATCCATCAACTTAACACTCAGTGGGAAGGAAAGAGGGAAGCTTCCCTCCTCCAGCGGTGCAAACGTCTGACCGGAGCAGGAAAAGTCTTAGGGGGAAAGCAGGATGGATTAACGACTACGAACAGTTGCATTTTCTCGTGGTTCCGTCTCCATGTTAAAAAGAAGGTTTTCTACCGCCACCCTTTTTCTCTTTCTTTCCCCAGCGGGAGTGTTTCCATTTAAAGTTGTCTCCGGTTGCTTTAAAATAGCTTGGTGCCCTCCGGACACGTTGGGCTGCAATCCCCATCATCCCCAGCCAGCTGGAAATGGTGGGGATTGCAGTCCAACGAGGACGCCAGGCTGGGGAAAGGCTGCTTTAAAATAGATCTATCCGCGATTGCAATTGCCAGCTGAGACAACTAGTTCCAAGCATCTCCCCAAGTCAAACGCACCCGCAAGCTGCTACAGGTTCGAACGCGCTCGGCGGTGCAACGAGAAATCGCCCAAAGTCGCGGAGGATCAGAGCAGCTGCTTTCCGAAGCAAGACAATCGAATAGCGGACCGACAAGCAAAAGCGATTACCACCTCTTTCTTGTGCCCCGTTTTTTTAATTTTCTCGCTCCCATCCTCAAGGAGGGAAAAAACTTGACCCGGCTCAGCTGCAACATCACCACCACCAGTTGCACTTTTCAATCTACAGTACATATCAAGGTAAGGGGAAAAGAACCCCACCCTCCCACCTTCGCCCCTTTTAAAAACTCTCCATCAGAAAAAAAAGAAGAGAACTCTAGTAACACGTGTCTACAAAAGAACGCAGTGGCAAAGCAAGGCAAATCCAAAGGGGATACCTGACACTCACTCGCTGCTTCCAGTGAACCGCTGCTTCAGCTGCCTAAACCCAGCGCTCTGCAATCCGAACGCCTCAGCTGCCACTCAACGCCGCGCACACGAGAATCGCGAAGCTCTCTAACTGAACGCGGTTATCTTGAGCCAACCGCGACGCCGTACCTCTTGGAATGTACCACTTTGTCGTTCTGGGGAGGAGTTGGGAGTAAACATGAAACAAAAAAGGAATAGCACGATTTCCCAACCGGTAACGGACTGCGCTGTTTCCCACGAATACCTCCCGGTGTTATCGCTGAGCGCAGTATAAGGTTAAAGTAAGCCTCGGAAGCTAGGAAACACAACACCCCCATTTTTGGGGGGGAGGAGTAGTGGCCGGAGAGGGGGCGTGGCGCGGCGGTTGCAAAGCGTGCGGCGCCGCGTCGAGCTGGAGGGCTGAGTGTGGCGCGCGGGGCACGTCGTGAGTGTTCTCGGGATCGGGATGCGGGTCGAGCGCGCAAACTGTCCGGCTCCTTCCGCGGTGGAAGGAGGACGAGCCTGGCGCTGCGCTGTGCTTTGGGTTTGCGCGTCTGTGTCGAACACCTTTCCACCTACTCAGAACAAGCGGAGGGAGCGGCTTAAGGTCGCTGCTAGTAAATCATATATTGTGAAAGGAACGGGTGCGGGAAGCGGGGCGAAATCGTTTCCGCAGGTTTAAGCCACCTTCGGTAGAAACGGGAGTGGCCTTTTCGCCTCCCGGATCACGTTTCTGTCTGCTGGCAGCCCGACCCTGAGCCGATAGTTAGGCTAGAATGGCAGCTTTTCTGGGAGCTCATTCACCCCCTCCGTGCTAAAAACTGTGCAGTCCCTACATAAAACTTCTGACTTATCAATGTATGGTACCTCCCAGTCCTTTATTTGTATAGCAATATAGGAATATATTACTTATTATTTCCTATATTGATTGAAAGCAGTCAACTTTGTCAGATGTAAAGACTCTTGGTAGTCGCGTTTGGCCCCTAGTAGATTAATGATGTTTTCTTTAGCTCTGAAGTAGATGAGATGTCTGTATGGCAGTCTTTCTCATGCACAACTTAAAACACTAGGATGAAAACACAGCAAGTGTCGTTTTAAATTGGATGCTCTTGTAGGTTCATTTTTATCAGTACCACAAAAAGTATTAACTTTCTTAGCACATGCTTTTTTGCTATCATCTTCTGTAATAAATTGACACACACAATATTTCCCATCTGTTAATTGTAAAGCGTTCAAAAACAAAACAACTTTGTTAACACTTTTAGCCATTGTGAATTTTTTCATGGAGTGCCACTTTTACTAATATGTGAAATGAAACTATATCCTGAAAATATAACCTGGAAAAATAGGTTTTTCAAATTATTTTTGTGAAATAGGAAATCTTATATATTTATATTATAATTTAAATTTATTAGGAGACAGAGTCAGTACATTTTATCAACTCTGACTCCAGTAATCCAAGAATTACTTCCAACTCCATATCGATGCTGAAAGCACCTGGAAAAAAACTGGTTTGACTTGTTTTAAAAACAATGAGAATCCCCATTGGTTAAAATATTGTTAAAAACTACCTTAAGAACTTGTTCATAGCTTGTGTGGCTTTGATCATATGGGTTCTAGCTCATAAATCTTTAACAGTATATTAAATGTTGGCCTTCTAAGTGCCACAAGATTATTTGTGTTTGCTATGAACCTTGTGGCACCTCGAAGCTGAGACCTTGCTAAGAGAAGTTTTCCTTGGAAGGGAGGGAATATCCACAGTGAGATCTTTGAGCTCACAGTTCTTTCTTTTGGCTTAGAGGAAAAGATTTGCAGCATCTTACGACAGTCCAGATATTGTCTGGAGGACATAGGATTGCTCCCTTGCTGGTTAAGGGACTACACCTTCAGTAAGTCTAAGAGTAAATATGACAATGAATATATTTACTCAGAAGTATATTGCACATATAGTTTGGTTTTGCTTACTTGGGGCACTCTGCCCTCACCCACTTCAAGAATTCTGAAGGATAAGGTGCTTCCACACTGTTTTCTGTCAGTGGCACTTGGATCTGAGGAAATGGTTCAGAGTTGGATTGTAGAGTTAATTTTTTAAAAAGATACTGCAAAACAAGGGCACAATCCAGCTTAAGGTAATCACTTTTATATCCTGTTGACTTCACTATATTTCTTCCCTTGAAAAGTAACAGGCTGTAAATGCTTGGCCTTGCAGACTTAAGGGTGCAGTTGTTTGGCTGTGCCTTAGATGCTGATGAGCCACCAAACTCAGAGGCTTACGGTTACCCTGTGCAGAGGGAGAGGTGGCAGAAACAGGGAGGTGATAAATGCCTTTCCATCTTCAAACCCTGCATTTTTCCCTTGATTTTTCTTGCCTGTCTAGCTGGGCCGTTTTGGAAAGGAAGAGAGTTGGAGAGGCTTCAAAAATAGCTCATATCCTTGTTTTTCCAGTCTCCTCCTCTTCCCACCCATTGTAATGACCCCATCCCCCCTCTCCAAGCTTGCTATCCCAGCCTCAGGCCAGCCAGTAGGGGTTTTTCCATACTGGTGGAGAGTGGGATAATGTCAGTTCCCTATTTGCAGCTTTGAGGTTGGCGCTCTGTGTCTAATTTCAGACTGGAAAATCCAAGCTACCCATAGGGCCATATATTCCATTCAGGAATCAAGATACACCAAATCATGTGCTTTCTGTTTTATTTTCCTTTCCTTAATGTTTCCTTAGGTATAAAATGATTATACCCATCAGATGTTTCACTTGCGGCAAAATAGTTGGAAACAAATGGGAAGCTTACCTTGGCCTCCTGCAAGCTGAATATACAGAAGGGTACGTGTTCTTTTTCTTACATTTTTGCCTCTTAAGATTTTTAATAATTACAAAACTTGCAATATCATTTACAATATCATTTCAGTGACGGCAGTATTGACATTAAACTTCGGTATGTAACATGAAATCAGTCCAAGAGATATCCCCTCCCTCCCAAAAAACCACAGAATTAAAACAGCAATATGAGAAGTTCTTCAAATGCCATCTGAAATAAAAATGTTTAATTCCATGTCACCTTCTAAAGCAAGAGAGTTATTTGGCTTGGCTTTTTAGCCAGTGTTCCACACTGAGAGCATCGCTATTAAAAAAAAACGACGCCCTATTCATCACCATCTTTTCAGGACAGGGGTGGGAAATCTGTGGCTGTTGAGATGTCCATCTGCCAGCATGTCCTGATTATGGCAGATGGAGTCCAGCAATATCTAGTGAGCCATCAGTTCTTTGTTCTCTACGCATGAGGTAGTGTTAACTGAAAGAGGACTTTCAACTGTTACAAGAGAAGGCATTTCCTCAACTACTCGAAACCAGAGTTATTTAGAAAATTCAGTGTTGACATAATGCTCCTCAGTTTTGGTAATAAACAAGGATCACTTCTGTCAGACCAAGTAAGGGACAACATCTGAGGTGCCATTGGATTCCTGTATCAGAAACAGTTCTCCAGCTCCCCTCCTCCTTGCAGCCAGTGTAGAAAGAACTGTGCCAGCTCCTTTTCATGGGCAGGAAAACAACTTTGCAGAGGGGAAAAGGGGTTTTTTTAGGAGGTGGGGAGGGGAGGAGACTGGAGGGGATACAATGAAAGTTATCCTGAAGGCTTTCCAGACCCTCCCTCTTTGAAATGCTTTGAGACCCTCTCCCTCTTTGAAATGCTCCAGCTAGATGGGCAAAATATACAGGATAGGGAGATGGGAAGATGTAGATATTTTCTACTGCTCCTCCGGCTCTCTGTACAAAGACTGTGCTTGCAGGTTCAGGGGTCTATAGCATCACAGTAGGATTTCACCCTAAAAGATGCTTCCACAGAAGTACCATAGAAGTATCCTCCTTATAAAAGAATACTGCACTGAAGACATAGTAAGCTATCTTTACCTTTTCTTAGATATGGTTTGATGCAAGCAATTGAACAGTGGCAGATATAAATTGGATTTTATCTCCTTTTCCTTTTTCCTGCTCCTCCTCCTCCTGCTTTGGTAGTCTTACAGATCACTTATTTCACTTTTTGTCAGTGATTGAGAGCTGGTCAAGGAAGGAGGGTTTAGGTCTAATAAGAAACTGAAGGGAGAATGTTTACAAACCACATTGAAAAGAATATGCAATTCTCATTCCTTTGTTCGAAAATTTCAGTTCCACTTCTTGGAATGATATAGCCTAAGAGTAATTTTAAATAGATAATAAATTGATGGTTCTATTGATAGGAATTTGGGAATCTGTCCTATACTGAAACCAGACGGTCCTTTTATCTCAATATTTTTGATCCAGACTGACAGTGTCTTCCAAAGATTTTACGCAGAACCTTTTTTCCTAGGGTTACCTGGAGAAGCTCGGATTGAACCTGAGACTTTCTGCATACAGAGCATGCGCTCCTGCATTGCTTAGCTCCGGGTATAAGTGCGTTCTCACTTATTCCTGAAGCATACTGAGAAAGTGAGAAGTGCATGTCAAACCGAGTTAGAACATTTCCATCTGCCCCATAGAGATAGAGTTGCAAGACATGGCAAAAAAATCAATGAATGGTAGATGGCATTACCCAACTTTTGTATCTCAGTGTAACACAGAGACCCAGTTCCCTTGTATTTTTGCTGTTAAGATTGCAATTCAATACATTTCTACTCAGAAGTAAAGCAACTGTATTCAGTGGAACTTACACCCATGTAAGAGTATATGATTGTCACCATAGCTGACCTTTCAGTTAAGTGCTTGGGACATTCTGAGTTCTTAGGAAACCCAAGAATATAAAATTAAAGACTAATTTTAGGTGTTTTCTGATACCTGAACTCTCTGTCATGCTTCCCATAAAGGTTTCTGTGCTTACAAAAACTAGAAACTGAACAGGAAGATGAATTTGTATTTTGGAGCATCTTAAATAGTACATGATATTTTAGAATACCAAGGAGCTGATATAGGATGCACAGTTTTTTTCTGATTTATTAATTGGGCGGGGGGTGTTACCCTGCTTGTCTGCTAAAAAGGCTCCTAGAGTAGCTTACTTATAATCAGTAAAACAAGATGGTCTTCTCCACAGGCTGGAGCAAAAGGAGAAAAGGGATGGGGAGAGATGAAGGAAAAAGCAAACTTACAGGTAGTTCTTATACTGGCCAGCTGGAATAAAAAGAGTTAGTGGGAGGAGTGCAGTGGAGGTGATCTGTCAGCAGAACTGATGGAATGGCCCAGCTTCCCATCTCCCTCTGCCACAGCCACGGACCATATGATATTAACTCTTGGCCTGAATTTCATCATTTGAAATGTAAGTCAATTTATTTTTACAGCTCTCCTGTGGCATATTGATGCTGCTAGAACATTAGATCTGTGCTGTGTCATCTGAACAGCAGTCCCAATTAGTGTGGTACCCTTTCAGCAACAGTCTAGTTTAAGATGCTTGAACAGTGTGGAGCAGCACAGTAAGTGTTTCTCAGCTGTTCATGTTTAGCATCCCATATGTACATTCCCACATTCCTTTATGTTATTAAATCACATAGAATTATCAGCTAATTTGGGTGTTTTGAACATAATCTTGTTCTAGCAGTTCTTAATGTATGTTAAAAGCAATACTTGTTCATATTTCATATCTAAATGTTGTGCACTTTGCCTTTGGGCAGCCATCTAGCATTATTTTTCCAGTAAGAGATTTAAAAGAGCAATCCTGCAGCCCCTGCACCACATCTAGAGGGCCATAAGATTTCTTTTTTCATGTTCCCAGATCCAAGGTTGCAAGAGAGCGCCTACCTTTTTTTTCTGTGCTCAGATCCCTCTCCTGCCCCTCTCCCACAGCTGGGGTAGAAAGAACTGGGCCAGTTGCTTCACTGAAGTCATAACAGTGAGCTCAGGGAATGGGTATGGGGTGGTTTCTGCAGGGAGGGAAAGAGGTGCGGGACATGCCTTGGCTGAGCATATCTCAGCCTTCTTCCCTCCCCCTGTGAAACACTGCAGTTAGCTGGCCGAAGCAACTGTGCTCCTCTCACTCTGTACAGGACACCCGTAACCCTCCAGCTTTGGGGAGCTACAGGCATCCCCAGTGTAATACACTCTAAATGGCCAGAAGATAGCAAACCAAAATTATACAGCAGAAAAGACAGGTTTTCTTCCTTAACTAGGTAGAATGTAGAGCCTGCCCATACAGTGTTCTGCTTTGTTGCTCGGTGTTATGATAATTATTTTTATTGCAAATATGGAATTGGAAGTGATGGATTTAATATTTGAGATTTGGCAGAATTTTAATACAGTATTTGCATTATGCATTTACCTGAATGAATGAATGAAAGCATGCATGCATGCATGCTGTGGACTTAAATCTGATTCTTTTTGCAATTTATTGTATGATCTTACATTAACAAAATGAGCAGACAATGCATGTTTGAGCTTCCCCTAGCAGCAGAGCTTGGCTCTGCTAGCTAACTATCTTCTAACAATTTTTGGGGCAGATATATATATGTCAGATATTGTTAAAATCATTTATTGTAGCAAGAAATGGGTCAGGTAAACTGAATAATTTGCTAGTCTGGGGATGGAGAGATTCAGCAGTATTTGAAAATTCTGCTTTTCACTTACATTGAGCTTCTTCAGACCATCTTTAAAACTGTTAGAAAAAGAAATCACATTCAAGAGCATCTTAAGTTTGGTTTAATATGTATCACCTGTAGAAGCTTTAAAAACTAGATCATGGGTTAATATTTCTAATCGTTTGTTAAACCATTCTGCAGTTCTGTGGAGGTTAGCAGCCCATTTGTGTGTGTGTGTGTGTGTGTGTCAATGTAAGCCCTGTGGAGTTCAGTGGCATTTGCTCCCAGGGAAGTGCATATACGATTGCAGCTTAGTGTGCTGCAATCTTTAAGGGCGCAGTCCAATAGCCCCCAGCTGCAGTGTACATAAGCCTTAGCACTCAGATGCTTTCATGCATCCATTGCATGGAATGAAACAGCGTGGCAATGTGATCTTGCATTTCATCTAGATGGCTGAAAATGGTTGTCTAGATGAAGTGGAACAGAGGGGAGGGGAGGAGGCTGGGGCAGCATCAGGGTGTGATGTAAACCATTGGCCCCAGTTTACTCCCCTCCCTGCCACCTACAGCACATCCCTCTTCCTCCTCTCCAGTTGAGATCCTGGAGAGGTAGTTGACATGTTTCTTTCTATGCTACTGCAAGTGGGGCTGGGCTGGGAGCTCAGCCTTTAAAGTTACAGCACAAATGTCACAGGACCTTCAAGTTGGGATTTCCGACCAGTCTCTGGGCTCCCAAACCATGTCAGGAGGCCATAGGATTGTGCCCTAAAGCACTTTAAAATTAATATTGGAATTGAGCTGCTATTAAAACCTTTATTTGAATAACTTGTGAGGTCATACACTGTACTGAGAGTGATGCCTGTTCTGGAGTCCTGTAAGGTCAACAGGCCTCTAAGATAGGCATCAGATTTTTATGATCATCAGTTCCCTACTTCTGTTTTATAGCTTCCACCTACTTGATCTGAGAGTGGTTCACATCTCAGATTGAATGTGAATTATGCTAGACCCATCATGGAAATGAAAACTTACTCTCTCTGTGTGTGCTCCTCTGGCATAAATCATGAGCAGAATTCTCAAATGCAGAATGTACTCCTTTCCTATATGACGAACAATACTTTAGTAAGACTTGGAAAATCTCAACTTTCTTTAAAATGTTGCTACCTGAGTACGTCTACAGCCCAGTTGTGTGAATCCCAGCTAATTAAGCCCCACTGAAAGCAAGAAACTCAATGGGACAAAAAGTATGCTGACCTAAAAGGTCAGTGGTGAGACCAGAGAATCTGCTTTTGTAAGGTGGAAGGTTACATAGAAACATAGAAAACAGAGCAAGTCAGAAGGGGCCTTCTGGGCCATCTAGTCTGACTTCCGGCACCAACTGGCTCTGCTCACGACATGCCCACCATGTGGACGTCCAGCCTAATCTTGAACATCCACACCAGTGATCTTGGGTTGATCTTGGGAATGACTATCCTAATGAGAAAACATCTCTCAAGCCAGCAGCCAATCTCAGTCTCCAAACCTTCCATCTTACAAGACACAGAATCTAGGATGACCCTATGACAGTAAGAAGAACCTCTATTCAAAATGGCAGATATCACTGGGAAGAAGCCACAGACTAACACCGCTTTGGTGTCTAATTCATTGCTTTATTATATCCCTCATAAATGAATGGCTGCATTTACTCCTGGAAAGGAAGGAAGGAATTGTACTTAAGGACAACACTGCAACAGAGGAAAAACTGCCCACCTACACATATGAACTAACAGGGACCCTGTGAGAGGAGATAGCATGCAGACATGCTTTTGCATGCGTACACATTAATACAGTATGAAGCCCTGTTGACACATGCACATACCTCTCATAGGTGATGCTCATTTTATGCTCATTTCTTTTTTGACCAAAAGCGTAACAGGAATTCCTCCTTGGTGCATCTTACCACTCCTGCTATCATCAGTTTTTCTTCTAGAATGTTGTTTATTTCTGTTGTCCTGGATTTCTTCATGCCAATTCATTTTTTGGCCCTTTTCAGTCTGGCATTTCCTGTCGATTTATTTGCTCTATGAAAACCACCCTTATTTTTGTTTCGCAAAGAATCAGTACTTTTTGGGATACTATTGACCATTTTTAAAATTCTCTTTTTAGTCTTGGTTTCTATTCTTTATTTGAATATCAGTTGCATATTCTTGTTCCTTTTTTCAGATTCCTTTCCTGTTTTTTTAGATCGCCAGCTGCTCTGATAGGGGCCTGTTTTTTATCCTCTTATTAAGCTATAAAAATGAAATTGTATCAGAATGTTTGGAGTATTGAATTTGGAAAGGGGCCATGAAGTAGGCATGAGCCGTAGAATCATAAAGTTACACCGAGCAGTCTTAATCTTATCCAACTACCTGCTGAATGCAGGATCTGTAATGCAAGCTGCAACTTCAGCAGTGAACAAGAACCCATCATCTCATAAGGCAGTCTGTTCAGCAACTCTTATCATTAGGAAGTTTCAGTCATAATCTTCCATGCAATTTCCACCCATTTATTCTTGTCCTGCCTTCAGGAGCAACAGAGAAGAACCCCCACTTCCTCGGTATGATATTTGTACCGAGGAAGTCTTACATGTATACTCTTGTATAAACATAAATGCTGTGCAGACATTCAATTGAACTCACTTGGGTTCAGCATGGGGCCACCTTGTTCACTCACTTTCAATAAGTTGTAAGAATGGAGCTTATTTGGAAGAGAGATAGGGTAGCAAAGGGTCGCCTTAAAGCCTCTCAAAACCAGAACTATGTATATTTCTTATAAGACTGAAACCCTAAGTGTAGGTGTGGTAAGAAGGTAAACACATGTTGAATATAATCTCTTCTGGAGGCTGGTATTGGCAGAAATGCTGCTCTACATATTTGCTGCCTTTTGAAGAAGTGAATTTAGGAATAGTCAGATACACAAGCTTGCAATTCACCTGCCCCTGGTACTATAGCCTTGCTTTTTAGAACCAAACAACAAATGCTGTTTGTGGCTAGGCAAGCCTTGTTCAGAGGCAGATGTCAAGATTTTCTCTCTAGGACACCAGAAATGTTAACAGGTGTGTAAGAGTGGAGTGTGGGGAGACTGTAAATGGTCAAGACACAGTGTTGCATACGTCTTGGGGACATTTTTCCATCTTAAAAAAAATCTAAAGCAGTAATTGATCAAAGTAAAAACTACAGAATTCTAACACAGCAACCATCAACCTCTCCTCCAAGAGCATTCTTTTTGCTCAATTATCCCTGAGGGACTCATTTTCCTGGTCTCGTGGTTTTTTCTTTCTACTGTATGGGCAAGGTCTTGAATTCTTCACCTTTATTTGTCTGGGGTCTGGTTTCAGCATGCTGCTGCCCTTTTAAACACACTCCTGCTTTTTTTTTTTTGTTCTTAGTGATGCCTTAGATGCTCTGGGGCTAAAGAGATACTGCTGTCGGCGAATGCTGCTTGCCCATGTGGATCTGATTGAGAAGCTCCTGAATTATGCCCCTCTGGAGAAATGAAGAGCAGGGGGAATATATGATACTCCATTCACGTGGACCAGTGTGCTGCAAGAAATCCACAAGCTAGACAGTTGAGGTTACGGATGCAGATCATGCTCAGGGAGGGATTTCACTCTCCCCACAGTTTTGCCACAGCTTCTAACCTCTTCAAAGGAAATTACAGAAAGATGAAATCCACTTCCACACAGTTGGGGATTGTAGTTTTAATTAAAGCAGGGATGAAAGTTCATCAGAATCATATTGATTTTGGAGAACGGTGAATTTTTAAAACTACTCCAAGTCACTGGCAGTGCTTTTAATAAAGCTTATAAATACAGCTTGTTCAAAATATGGTAAGGAATGTCCCTTCTCCCTCCCCTGTACTGCTCCTGTTACTCAGAAGCTCATTCAAGAAACTGGAGAGAGTTAACGGCGCGTTCAGGTTGTTTGCTGCTGGCATTTATCAATGTTAAAATGTGTGGGGTGGCGAGAAGAGACTCCTCTGTCCAATATTCCTCTGTGCATTTGCACAATATGAACTTATCTTAAAGACCTGAGATCTGGCTGAATGACTTGTGGGTTGTGATGTGAAAAACTAATAAAAATGTAGGATGAATTTGACTTGGGGTTTTTTTTAAGTGGGGGAAGGGGCAATATCCATCAAATTCAATCTCTTGTGCGCAATCTGAGAAACATCCTCAAAGCTACTGTGGTATATTGCAAACACAATCTTCCTTCTATTTCTCTTACATGTCACATTGCAAAACTGGCAGTCCATTTACCAGAGCTGTAGCATAAGCTTCAAAAGTTGAGGGAAAGTGAGCCGCTTCAGGATGTCAGAGCAGCTGAGAGGCCTGCTTACTTACCCTTGCAATTTCTAAAAATCATATACATAGGAAGAGGTGTATTTATTAAATGCTTCATGCTGTAGCATGTAACTCAGAGCCATGTCATGAGTAAGAGGTACATTCATCCTTTCAGCTAATACATCTCTTAAATGTTTACCTTAGAATTCTGTGCAACTCAAAGCTTTACATCCCCCTAATAAAAGGAATTGCATCTGTTCCATATGCTTTGCTGTCAATGCTGGGATCAGTTGTTACATGAGTTAAGTTGGGAGAGAAATACTTAGATGCCCATCATTTCCTTCACACTGCTGTGGGAACTTGGAAAACGAACATCTGCTTTTTGCCAAAGGACCGAAAAGGAGGCAATGAAAATTTTTCACCTCACCACTAATGCAGAAATATGCTATTATTTATTTATTTATTTATTTATTAAAACATTTTTATGCCGCCCCATTCGCCGAAGCCTATTAGTTTGACAGCATGCTAAAATGTCTTGTCTTTAGTTGCCAACATACTTTTGGATGTCTTTAAGCACATGGAGTGCCATTGTGTGTCAAGTGTAAGTAAGAAGTGGGTACATAAAGGTGTTCCTTCTAGTTTCTCTGCAACTCTATGGTAGCCTTCCCATTAGGGTGTCAATGGAGGTGACTAACTGCTTGCACAAGGGGTGGCGAAATAACTTGGGAAGTGGAGGCCTATTCTGTTCTCTTTGCCTTTTGTAAAACTAAAAAAATATTTTCCTCCTTCAGCTTTAAAGAACAAGATAGTTAAGCGTTTTAAACAAATGCTAGCTTCATATTAGGCCAGGCATTTTCATAACAGCTTCGAGATAAAATCTCAGTTTAATAAATAATGTTCCAGTTACAAGAAAAAGCCTGTCTCCCTGCACCCATCTCAGAAAATTATTTTTGCAAACTACATCTATTTTGGCATATTATGTGTCCTTTTTGTTCTTTACTGGTCTGATAACATTAACCCCATAATATCAGAAACCCTTTCATTTAATTATAAATGCAGTTTGCCTACTAGAAGAAAAGTTTTTTTTGCCAACCATGATAGTTGCTGAAACATTAAAAGGACATGGTCAGAAATTAGAGCAGCCTTGCTGAAGTTCAGAAAGTCTGAGCATGGCCAATGCCTGAATGGAAGACCAGCTCGGAATGGCAGGTATGCTGCTTGGGCCCCTCCATGCAATAAAGGTTGCTATAAATGTGGTAAGAAAACAGAAAGAGGCAAAGGTACTTAGGTGTCTCAGAAGGAGAAATCCTCTCAGGTGCATGAAAGCTGTTTATTACAGCCAACACGTTTTGAAAAAGACTCCCGGGGGGCACTCACCTTTCTTCAAATATGACACAAATAATCTTTTTGATACTACTATTGTCTTAAGATGCTCCAAGAATTTTTAAGACAGAAGAACCGTTGGAAAAATTCTTTGACACATATTTGGAGAGAGCTAAGTGGCCTCTTCTGAAACATGTTGGCCAAAAATGTGGCAATATAAATCTGAGGCCTGGTATCCGAATACCTTTGAGAGAATACATTTTCCACAAATGTAAGGAGTGTCTTTGTTTGCCCTGCATATAATGGAGAGTGGAAACTGCAGAGAAGACACACTACAGATATGTCTTTAGTTACAGGAACCACCAGCAGTGCACAGCATCTTCCACATAGGTGTCCGCTTTTGCCAAGATGCCTTTAATTTGATTTTATCAGTTTGCTTCTTTAAAAACATAAGCCTGATACAGAAACATTATAAACCTCCTGGTCATTATTCTCATTGGTTCTATGAATCTTTACAAGGTAAGTTTCCTTTTGCATTTATTACTGGGATGTGGGAGATTGCTCTCTTTTTTCCAGTATTCAGCAGTTTCTCATTTAAAAGTGCTCTGTTGTATTTTAAACCGCATGCTTTATCCTAATGCAAAGGGCATTAAGTGATTAATTCTGGCATTTGTGTTTCACAGTTGGTTGGAGAGCTTATGTTTTGTATGCCTGCCACATTATCTAGGAAAATGCCTGCAAAAACAACATTCAGTTTTAGGCTATATTTGTTTCTGGAGTGCCTGAGTTACCCTGCCTTTGCTTTTTGTTCATCCAGCATTGCATCTTTGGGGAATAACATGCCAGCTCCTGGGTGCCAGCTTAGATTAAGTAAGAAGCCTTTCTCTGGGTTCCTTCTCTAAATTCTCTGACTTGTAGCCTATGTGCTGGCTTTATTCTTGATTATTTTGCAGCCCAATCCTGTGTCCCACTGAGAAGGCCACCACTGTGTCATAGTCTGCATCTCTACATGCTTAGTTATGTCTATGCAAGTGCGCACAGACAGCACAAGGGGGCACCACAGTTGCAACTGCACTCATAACCTCTTGTGGCTACTATGCCCGTACTGTAGTGAGGCTGACAGAAGCATCTTCAGGAGGGTAGGAAGAAGGAAGAGTGAACCATGAGCATCATGGCACAGGAGGAGGGTAATAATAATGGGCAGCCTTCCCTATTTATTTGTGGTTTTTATAGACCATTCTCTCAGCGCTTGCTCTCAGAATGGTTTACAAGTGTTTACAGATATTAAAACAACTATCCATGAAATCCATTGCCAAAACAATCACAAAAATACAAGGGAATACCAAGGAATAACAACCACATCAAAGAAATAAAATACTAATAAATAACATTAAACCAGAGCAACCTATCATTATTTAGATAAAAACCAATATAAAATCATGACCTGTAATGACAGAAGAGTAAATTGGTTTTGACCTGACACTGAAATGTATAATGTGGGTTAGGATTTTATTAGAGAGCCCTGTTGGACTATTCAGTGGTCTGTAAAGCTGGGGGGGAACAATACTCAGGAAACCCCAGTAATTAAGAGTGGATATAGGAAGAGCTACCACAACTCTTTCTCTCTCATCAAACTGTGCTCAAATGAGTACCTACTGGCACAGCAAGAGTGTTAAGTCTGTTCATTAAGTGATACATCAAAGATGGAATGGTGGTCCCAAAACAGGTCATTGTGCACTGGAGATATTCTAATCCCATGAAGATACTCAGTAGCTACAATATTGCTTGGGCCTGTAATTCACCTGCTGGAGGGCTCACACCCTCTGCCACCCAGTTCTCCACAAATGGCAAGCCAACATTCATTGCCCCTGTTCAAAGACATCCTACAGAAAACCTAGACTCAAGCCTTGAGCAAACGTTGGGCAGCACAAAGGACACAACCAAGCAGATACATGCTCAGAGTCAAGAGTTCCTGGACTTAGTACCTGAACGAATGAGCTCTCATCCAATGCAATTCCCCTCTTTCGCATTCCACCACTAAAAGCGCACCTGCTCTTTTGCCGCTCCCAGTCGCCAGTGAGCCACAGCAGATCATTTGGGAAGCCCCCGACAAGCCGGCAGGCACGCAGGGAAAGGCATCTGGCAGAGCTTTACAAGTGCGTTGCTCAAAACGGAGGTACTGTGCATGGACCAGGCAGAGGCTGTAAGATGAGTACAGCAGTTTCCAGCCATGCTGTCCTTGCCCATGCTACCAGCAACCTTATATGGCAGGGGCGAGCACTGTAAATTTGGATTCACTGGTCGATCTCTGGATGGTTTGTAGATGATGAACCAGGGCAAGTAAAATGGAATGATCTATAGTAACTCAGATGTGGGTTGGTGTTGGTGAAGGCAGCATACGGCTCACAGGGTACAATAGGCAATTCACTCGACTGCCTCTGCTCCACCACTTTGCACCTGGCCCTGATTAGCGGACCTCAGAGCTTAGGTGACCCCACCATTATGAAGCCTTGCCCACTCGTGTACACGGGATCCTGTGAGTGACTGGGAGTGCACATTGGCTTATAGCAGCCTTCCTCAGCCTGGTGCCTTCCCAGTATTCCAGCCCCTTCACCATGCTGCATGGAGCTGATGGGAGTTGGCATCCAAGACATCTGGAGAGCACCAGGCTGGCAAAGGCTGATTTATAGGACCTGGTGAATAAGTCAGAATACTTGCTTCTCCACCATGATTCAAACTGAATAACTGTATATACTATGATTTTCATACCTGTTACTAAAAATATACTTATTTCCCCAGCATAGATTTTCTCTGAGTCACTAGCTTCAGGGCAGAAGTAGATACTGAGGAAAAGAGGCAATGGCGGCTCCTCCACATTTTCCTCCTTTTTTTTCTGGTGACACACAATATGGCACAACACATGACATCACTTCATGCCATGTTTTTCTCCATATAATTGACTACAGGTAAGAGAAATGTGGGAACACACACCAGTGTAGTGATGTCATTTGTTGTTACGCATTACTGGAAAGGGGAACTAAAGCAATATAGAATGACAGCAGCTTCATATTTCTTGTCGTATTAATTTTCCCCAGTTCTGATGTCATCGTCAAACCATGGCTTGGCCATCCGGAAGAAGCTGTGAGTTTATACATACCTTCCACCCTCCTTTCACATGTGCTGCAGTTTTCTTTAATTGCTTAGGAATCATAGTTTGCCATGATGTCTGAAATGAGAAAGCTTGGGTTACTGCTAACTGTACTTTCTTTCCAAACTAGAATGAGAAAGCCACTTGGAAACCATAGCAACTCCAAATCAGACATCACAGCAAATTATGGTTACCATGATCCAGGAACCTGAGGAGGGAATTGTGTGCAAGCCTATAAACAGTGAGGTCTGAATGCATGTCTGGGAAGGATGGTTCTGCAGTATGGATTAAAAAGGAATGTGTGTGCCTTGAAACCTAGAAAAACCTTAGTAAGCATCC